GTTGTTGATGAGTCTTTCTCCAATTCTGATACTGCATTCTTCTTTGTAGAGGTCAACTTCTCAAATAATAAGCTCAACATACAGATTAAATAGTATAGAGAAGGGGTACAACCCTGATAACTCCTTTCTTGATTTTTAAACTGCAAGTGTTCCCTTGCTCCATTTGCCTCTTGATTGAGGTAAAGGTTTTGCATGAGCACAATTATGTGCTCTAGGATTCCCATTCTTCTCAATTTCAGCCACAGTTTGTTACGTTTCACATACTCAAGGCCTTTTCATGGTCAATAAAGCACAAATAGACAATTCTTTAGTATTCTCTGCTTTCAGCCAGGATCCGTCTGACATCAGCAGTGATATCCCTGCTGCAACAGTCTCTCCTAAACCCAGTTTGGACTTCCTGGCGCTTCTCTGTCTATGTACTGTTCTAACCATTTTTGAATGATCTTCAGCAGTATTTTGCTTGCGTGTGATATTAATGATGTTGTTCAATAATTTCCACATTCTTTTGGTTCACTTTTCTTGGGCATGGGATCAGTTGCAGATCTCCTCCAGTCAGCCAGCCAGGTTCTGTCCTCCAGATTTCTTGGCCTAGACTAGTTCGTGCGTACAAGGCTGCATCTGTCATCTGGTCTTTGATTGTTGGTGTTCAGTGCTACAAACCTGTTCTTCAGGTTTTTTTAAAATTCAGGTGAGATAGACTCAAGATGATATTTTTGGTTCCCGTGGATTTATTTGTATTTTCTTCAGCTTCACTTTGTACTTTCACATGAGTAATTGATCATCTATTCCACAGTCAGTGCCCGGCCTGGTTTTGACTGCTATATTGAGCTTCTCCAGTGATTCCTTCCACAGAAGTAGTCAGTTTTATTTCTGTGCAGCCCATTTGGTGAGATTCATACATAAAGTCACTGTTTGTGGTTTTGTTTTGTTTTTAAGTTATTTAAGGTCAATAAATTACTGAACAACAAAAAAATTCAATCACTGACTGTTTCTAGCCTCATTTCTGTCACCAGCTCTCTACTTTCTGGCTACCTTTCATTGTGTTCAACTTTTGCGTTCCAATCACCAGTTATCATTAATACATGTTTAATCAATTTTGAACTGCAAAACTTGATAAACATGTTCAATTTCTTCTTCTTTGGCTTTAGCTGTTGGTGCATGCTTTTGAATAATAGTCGTATTAGTGTATCTTCCTTGTATTTATAGATAATATCCTATCATAACACTATACTTCATAGAACTTGAAATGATAGATAGAACTTGAAATTGTCTTTTTAGCTATGAATGAACTCAACACCATTCTTATCTTTTTCATTGCCAGCATAGTATACCATGTTATCATCTGATTCAAAGTGTCCAAAGCTAGTCCATCTCATCTCATAATGCTTAGAATGTCAATGTTCATATGTTCCATGCACTTTCATCCCAAAGGTCAGCAGTTCAGATACACCAGCCACTCTATGGGAGAATGGGAAGTCCCCTCTCTTGCAGTTTACTGCCTCTGAAAACCCACCGGAGGGTCAGCAGTGAGTCAGTTCTAACTCAACAGTATACAACAAAAACAAGTTATTTAAAATGCACGATGATGAATCTCTAGAAAATTTTGTGGAAATGTGAAGTTCATTTTTTAGACTTTTCAATTTACTATAGTTTCCAGCACAGTTTTAGCATTAGCTTTGACTTATTTTTCATTTTTGGGTTATGTCTCTTTGACAGATGCACGTGGTTTAAACTACTTCTTAGTCCTAGAAAGTATGTCATGATTTCAGGAGTGCTGGAATCACATGGTCTGTCTTTCCTACTTTCTCAGATAGAAGTATGAGTTCTTTGCTTCCCTTTAACTTCTCATCTAGAAATAGTGTGAATCTAAGCATTCTGCTCCCTCCCCCCTTCTCCTTTCTTTTTCAGGAGCTGGGCTTATTATTATAGTTAGAAGTATGGAGTCACATTTTAAACACTTCTGTGTTTGGCTGTAAGGAGCCAGATAGCACAGTGGTTAAGTTCTTGGCTACTAACCAAAAGGTTGACAGTTTGAATCCACCAGCCACGACTCCAGAACTAGTCTATCTGCTTCCATAAAGGTAATAGCCTAGCAAACCACATGGGGCAGTTTTACTCTGCCCTCCAGGGTCACTGTGAGTGAAATCAACTTAGTGACATACAACAACAATACTACCTTTAGCCGTAAGATCAGGATTTAGGAGACTAACTAAACAGGTTTTATGATTGTCATCAACACTATAAAACTTTATTCTGTATTTTTACAATTACTTTGACAATGTAGGTTACTAAGGCAGTACCATTTTTTTCCTGAAAAATATTCTGGCTTGTTGAAGGCTGTTCTGTGAGGTGTTAAACATGATTAAACAAAGACAGACAAACCATATTTATGTTGTCTTACTTTACTTTATTTGAACTTGGATATTCAGTTGTGAAATATGAGTGAAATATTATAATTTGAATCACTGTATGATTCTGTACTGTGTTTGGAACTTCAGAATTGGTAGTGCTTAAATGAAAGGTGTGGAGTTTACTCAGTCGTTCCCATACATTTGATGTCCTTAACTATTTTTTATTTAAGAGTTGAAATGTGGTGCTGCAATTGATGCCTGTGTCTCCTTTGTATGAAAAGATGATGATGGTTAGATTTACTGGCACTCATTAATTTCTTTTGCCACCAAGTGATTAGTGTTTTAGAGAAGGGGAAGAGTGACTGTATAGAAAAGAGAAAAAAAAGATTGAGGAGTGTTCACTCCTAGTAATCCTGTTCTTTATGCATTTTAGGTTAATGGAGGGAGAAAAAGTTATGAGAAAGGCTCATGAGTGCTTTGAAAATAATGTGTGGATCATAAAATTACAGATTATAAGAGGCAGGAAGAATGTTAGAGGTCTGGCTGTCCTCATTTTCAGAGAAGCATAGTGATTTACCTAGCCAGTTCAAAACAGTAGTATATCTAGCTCTAATTCTTTTTGAAATCCTGGATTTCCTCTGCTTTAATTTTAATATTACCATTTCTCCTGAGTTTTTGTGGAAATAAAATTTGGGTTTTTTTTAGGGAATAATTTGTTTTTTCCTCCCATATCACTTTGCTCATGCCTGTGCTACCAATAGACTTGTGGAAAATAAAGGTACTGTCTTGTTCTTGTTGTTGTTATGTGCCGTTGAGTTGCTTGTGACTCATAGTGACCCTATGTACAACAGCCCTAAAACCTGCTCTGTCCTGTGCCAATCTCATTGTCTCTGACACACTCCAATTACCCCAGTCAGTGAATCAATCCGTCTCCTAGAAGGCCTCCCCTCCATGCTCCCAAGCATGATGTCCTTCTCCAAGGACCAGTCTCTCCTTACAACATGACCAAAGTATGTTAGACGAAGCCTCAGAATTCTTGCCTCCAAGGAGCAGCTCGGTTTAACCCTCTCTAGGATTAATCTGTTTGTTTTCTTAGCAGTCCATGGTACCCTCAGTACTCTTCTCCAGCACCAAAGCTCAAAGGAATCAATTCTTCTTCTATTCTCCTTAGTCATTGTCCAACTCTCTGATGCAAAACAAATGATTACCAAGCCTTAAAATGGAAAGTATTAAATGCAATCATATGGGGAAGGGGAAACATTGGAATATAACATGTTACATTTTATTGAAAAGTATATTTTGAAAATTGATAGAAACAGTGATATAATTTATCCTTTAAAATATTCCCTATTCTTTTAAAGATTGTTAATATTCAGGATAGGGGTTTAAGTTATCTTTAAGGACATTACACCTTTAAGATAACTTCCATATTTGTAAATAAAGCCGTTTCATTGCTGTGATTCTTATTTTTATGTCACACTTCTTTACTGCCCCACAATAGAAAGGTATATATGCCAATTTTTCATCTAAGAATTATTGGCCATTTTGAAAGGACAGCTATGGCATGTTCCTCCCCAAATATTAAAAGAAACTATTTTTTTAAATCCTCAAAGAGGATATTTCATCAGTACTTGCTTTCACCTTTGCTAATATATAAGCTTTTGCACTCAGTGTGTTCCTCTTCACGATCGTACCTAAATAACTCTTTGCTCTAATTTACATTCATATTATCTGTGAGCATAAAAAAAGCAGTTGGTTGGTAGCTCTTTGTATGTTAGCTTTACAGTAATTAATGAAATGCTACTTAACAAAATGCTGTTTTAAACAAAATAAAATTGTTTTAAACTGGATATGAAACAGCTATGGGGCAGGAAATGGCTGAGTCAGTAGGGAAAAAAAAAATCACCAGTTAACTTTACAAATTAAAAAAAAAAACCCTGATTTTGGGTAACGTAATCCGCCAGTGTGATAATAGCAGAGTCCTCTGGAGGACTTGTGCCTAGCTCACACACCACCTGGTTCCTGCCTCTTGATGTCTGTTAGTTGAATGACTCTCATAGGTTGACGCCTGGTATCTATGTACCTGATTAACTGGAACATTTGCATGTTATTTGTCAGTGAGAAATCATTTAAACTTTTGGAACAGGGTATTGATAAAATCAGATTAGCAGGAAAGGTGTTAAAGGTCATGTCTTATTATAAGACCACTGTAAACTTCCTTTTCTGTTTTCTAACCTGTAAATGAAAGGCTAATTCTGGATTGAGATAATTTTTGAAATTCCTTTTGAACCCAATGAGTTTTTGTTTCAAAACTGAAATATTACCTCTAGAGATAGTGTTGACTGTGCTTTATGAAATTTGAAAAATTAGGCAAAATGCTGATCTAGCCACAGTTTTACATAGTGTCTTGAAATTGTCCCTCTATCAAGTAAAGAACAAATGTTTCAGTTTAATATATGACTGCATTAAAAAAAAATGCCACCACAGTAGGTGACCAGGGGATAAGTAACTTTGAGAAATTTTGAAAGCCCAGTAGTACTTTATATATGCTCTCTCAGCACTAAAAAGGTCACCTTGGTAACACATGTTAATTTTGAAAGTATAATTGACCTTTGGAATTTTAATTTCAACCTTTTTTGGTGTGTTTAGAGGTTGGAGCAATCACAGAGGAAACCGAAGCCTGCGATTGGTGGAGTTTGGGTGCTGTGCTCTTTGAACTGCTCACGGGCAGGGTAAGTGGGGCCTGGGCATGGGCACATTCATCCACATACCACCTTGATTTCCAACTTACAGCATTCGTCTTTGCTTTTATATTTTGATCAAGGCCAAAGGGAGAAATACTTTCATTCAAAACCAAGCAAAATTTAATGCAAGTGTATTAAAATACCAGACTTTAAGTCTAGTTATATTACATTGAATTAATTGTTTGTAAAATTTTTTTAAATCATAATGCTACAGAGTGAGTTGTAAAAGTAAACATCCTTTCTCTTCATCTTCTATAATTCTGTGGTTCAGCTTTAACAGAGTTAAAACCATATGTATGGTTCACGGTAAGCTATATTAGAGTTCTCTAGATAATTTAAAACTTGTTTTTTCTGAAACTGGGAAAAATTCTCATTTAGAAAGTTAATATAGATGTTAACTTTACATTATTTTTACTCCATACTTTAATTTTTTTTTCTTTGTGTTTTAGCTTAAAGAGAAAATTTACAAGGCACTGGTATTTTTAAATATAATTTTTTGAGATTAATTAATAGACTTTAATACAATATTATACAAATTATGTCTTAAAAAAAAGCCAAACAGAACAAAGTAAGCTCTTACCTTAGATAATACTAACTTTCTACAGTTGTCGTGGATTTTACAAAGCACTTTTACAAGTATATCCTATAGACATGTAAAGGAGCTCTGATGGCCTAGTGGTAAGGAGCAACACTGCCATACTAGAGACACGTGGTTTGAATCCACCAGCTGCTCCACAGGAAAAGGAGGGGCGGTTCCTCTCATGTGATTTACTCTCTCTGAAAACCAGGTTTTCAAGGGTCAGCTATGACCTTTAAATCTTTTTGTTGTAACCCTTTCTCTCTGTACCTAAGGGCAATCATTCTGCAATAACTTTTATAACAAAGTTATGATGTCATCTAAATGATTGCCTGCTTCTGTTTCAAGTTCTGCTTGTAGTCTGAGTCCTAAACTGCTTAGGTAGAACTGTATCAATTAGTATTCCACCTCCAATTAAGATGGTTATTGAGCTCTCTGTACTTGCTGTCCATAAATCTTGTAATAGAACAGCAGATGATGTTATTTGGGATAAGATGTGTACCTGATTGAATGTTTCAGACTCTGGTTGAGTGCCATCCAGCAGGAATAAACACTCACACTGCTCTGAACATGCCAGAATATGTCTCTGAAGAGGCTCGCTCGCTCATTCAACAGGTAATTTAATTGACCATTTGACCGACTTTATCAACCTTGTAAATTAGCAAGCCCACAACTCCAAAACCCTGAAGAAATTACTTTTAGCCCAGAAAGATTGATTAGTAATTGTAAGTGCAGAGTTATATTTACACTGAGTATTTTTAGGCTTCTGCTTTGTCACAGAGGATAGTTAAAGCTGGGTGTTAGATTTTATTTTTAAACAAATTTTTATTTTAAGCTAATATTTAGTCAATTCCATATAGTTCTGGTGGTGTGAAATGTAAGTATTGCCTTTAGCTTTTTAGGGGCTTCTCTATTTTTTTATATTACATTTTCTAATCATATATGATTCCTCTAGGTTGTATAGCCCTGGTGTACAAGTTGCCGTACAGCGGTCACTTGTGGTTGCTGTGAGGCTGAACACTGTGACACTGATTTGTCAAATGCGTTAATTAATGGCTTGTTACCCAATACGGACAGAGAGTAGGGTGGAGCTCCCCAATTAAAACAAGCTTGGAAGAAAAGTGCAACAATGAATGAATGGAATTCCAAAATCTCTGTAGATGTTCACTGAAATTAATAATAATAATAATTTTAAAAAATTTAAAAAAAT